CCCGGCTATTTTTTGGTTGCAGCCGTCATTGTTTGGCGGGCGGGGCTGGATTCAAACCTGCCAGCTCAGGTGCATATGGCTAACGCCTCAGCCTCTTGAGCCATAGGCGCTGAGCCAAATATCCTTTTTTTCAAACAGTTGAATGGAATTGCATCACAGATGTACCCAAGTCATTTGATCATTCCTTTAACTTAACAGGCAATTATGTTGATCCCAACTTTTGCAGGCAATGAAACTGAAGACTTGAAAGGTTAAGTGGCTTCTCTAAGTAACCTCATGCAAATAGCAGAGATTTCTATAAAATCATGTCTGAGAACATGCTCAAGAAGTATTTTTATTTTGAAATACTTTAAGCAGTTAAAAAAGAACCCACCACACTATTCTGTTAAATCTTAAACTCTGATGCATCTGCATCCAGTTTTATAAACACAGTGAAGCCCCCATGTACCCTCCTGATCCCATCAACATCTCCTGCCCTGGAAGGCAGAGCAGGGACATACGCACATCATTCCAATATATGATCTTATACTCTTCATATCATTTGAACCCATGAAAAGTAAGATTGTGCAAAACAATAACACTTTCTAATATATGCCAACATTTACATGCCAGACACTATTCTAAGCACTTTACATGCATTATGCCATTGACTGCCCCCCCACCCCCAAACACCTTGTGAGATTGGCACCACTACCCTACTTTACAGAAAAAGTGAAACACAATTAAGTTGAAGTAATGTGCCTACAGATACAGTATGCTTAGCTTTACATAAGCCTTATTATATCACATATAGCTCCTGTAATGTTCTCAGCATTGTTTATCTGTGTTGAAATGTAACTCTAACTCAAATTCGATTTCCAAAGTGCCAAAACCACCCTTTAATCTGTTCTGTTGATGAAATGCTTTTCCCAACATTATTACCAAATCAACACTGCAATGAACAGTCTTAAATTTGTTTACTTGTTCACATGAAGCTCCTCTAGGACACACCCAAGAGTAGATTCACTGGGTAAAAGAGTACACACTTTGCAGGTTGCTGGGCACAGTATTTGCCAGTTTCCATTCTCATAGCAGTGTGAATTCCTGCTGTTCCATATACTTACCCACACTGGGCTTTCAAATATTTGCCAGCTTGTGCGTGAGGTGGTCTGTATTATTTTGTCTTTCACATGCCTTCTCTGCACATGCCTGTCTGATCTGACAGTGTGTCATTACAGGTAGGGCTGACCAACTGAACAGGTGCCAGACAGACACCTGCTCCTCCCTCTTGACTGTCCCAGCCCAGATGGCTCCCTCCAGCCCCAACTTGAGTTCCTGCAAGGGAGTGAAGGTAGGCAGGGCTGGAAGAAACTTGCATGTTCTCTAGGCCAAGCTGAGAACTGGAGTTGGGGCCATAAGAAACCTTTAACTGGAGCCATACCACTCAGAACCATCCACTGCTGGGTCCCTAACCAGAAGCTGTGTGCTTACAGGGTGACTTCCAGTCAACATTCCACTCAAGCGCTCCTTCAAAATACCCCAACCTTGACTTAGCTGAACTAAATTTCGTTCTAGATTCCTTAACAGGTAATTTTGTACAAAATCTCCTCTGCATGGCAAATAGATAAGCACCCAATCCTGGTCTCCAGTGTGCCTGGTCTGGCTGCAGTGATGGGCACAACTAGAAACCCAGCCAACACCTTAAAACAGCCAGATACAGGCATGAGGAGAAGTGGGGCCGCTGGAGAGGGGCTTTGAGGGATAAGTATAAGGCAAGGTCAGGCCTTGAAGATAGAGGACCTACAGCAGGACAGACAAGAGGTGTGGCACTCTAGGTGAAGGGAGGTAGACAGTAAAAGGTATCCAGGGAGGTGCAATGAAGTTAAGTCCAACACTGATTACATCAAAATGTTTAGTTAGCACCAAGTAGTCAGACTTTGACCTTATACCCTTTTACCTAATCTGTATTTACCAGTATTTCTATAATAATCACATAATCACTTACTGAACTAAGATTTGAAAGCTCAGATTATTGAATTCAATATAATTCCAAAATATTAATGACTTCAGTACAGAAGGATTTCTATTTTTTCATTATACATTCTAAATTTTGATTGGAATGTTTAAAAGTAAGTATATCTCATTTTATTAAAATGGCAGTAAAAACACTGCTACTTCAGGCAGGAGATGGTGGGGGTGAAAAACAAACAAACAAAAAAAAAACCTACTGGGGCAGGAACTTTACAAGGTGCCAGATGGTACAGGGAATAAGGGGGTGAAAATGCAGACAGAAAAGGATTTCCGTGGTTGTAGTATCAAGTGACATGGGAGCTGCATGTCTGTGAGGGCCCTGGTGCTAGAGGTCAACTACACAACCCAGAGCCTCAGGAAACCAAGCGCTTTCCCAATCTCAGGAGTCAGGCACTCTAATCACACACGAGAAATCCATGCAGAGATCCAATGACTTGCCCAAGATCATCCTACCAGTACAAGGCACACTGAGCCTGGAACCCAAATTTAACTCCAGGGCCCCAAGATCCTGGGCCCTACTCACACAGGACTCTGACTTCTGCCCAGTAACTTTTAGTGCCAGTGAAGAGACACCTGATTCTGAGCCATGGGCAGTTGTAGGAAGGCAAGAGAATGGCAGGACCAAGATTACCAAACACACAGCTGAATGGGCACCAGAACATCTGAGGAGACGCCTGCCCCACTCCCTGTCCATCCGATGTATCCCCACCCCTAAAACCAGAACTCATGTTCACCTACACCAGGCAATCCAGAGAGGGTAAGATTACAGAGTATACTACTGAAAGGACATTTTCCAGGTTGGTTTCTTCTCATTACAAATGTCCTGTTCCACAAGTGGGCCCGTACTCAACTGCAGTAAAATGCAGTCTGAGATGCTGCTCTCCACTGAACAAAACATTTTATCCTCAAATTTATAATCTGAGATCTTTGATAGTCAGAAGCAATGATTACTCACATGTACTTGAGAAATACTACTCCTTTATGTCATCAAGATGACTCTTGCTTTTTGCTTCAAAACAAGTGGGTGGGCAACTACGGGGCGCTCCCCCCTCCCGAGGGCAGCAGGCACATGCACTGGCACCTCTGGGCTGAACCTGATGTCAGCAGCAGGTTCCACACATAGAGAGGGCTATGTGAAGGCAAGAGGGTGCCTGTGGTGTGCAGATGCTACAGGTATAAACATAATCATGGGAAGTGCTTACATCTGCTGAGAAAAGATCTTACAGGAAATTCAGAAATGTTGTGTGGGGCAGTCTCATTCATGGGAAGTGGCAGCAGAGATAACTGCATAAAAATCAGCCATACCCATTTACTGAGTCCTCAAGTCTGTGGTTAAATCTTGTAAAATGTAGTTCAGATTCAAGCCACATCATCTGAAACTTCAAACTGTCCAGAATTTCTCTGCCTCCTGATGTAGCAGCCCAAGCCCCGGTGATGACACACATGCTCACACAGCCCATCACCTTTCTGGCCCTCTCTCCTCCTCTTCAAGCTGGTTCACTCTATACCAAGGGCCTCCTGGCTATTCCCAGAGGACATCAAGGAAGATCTCACTTCTTTGCCAGTAACTCTCCTTAAAGATCTACACGACTCAGGCGGTGCCTGTGGCTCAAAGGAGTAAGGCACCAGCCCCATATGCTAGAGGTGGCAGGTTCAAACCCAGTCCTGGCCAAAAACTGCCAAAAAAAAAAAAAAAAAAAATCTACACAGCAGGTCTTTGCTCAAATTTCACCATCTCAGTTGAGGGCCTCCTTCATTATTCTCTTGAAAGTCACAACCCACCTCCCAGTCTAACACTCCTTTTCAGTCTTCTCTGATCTACTTTGTCCATACCACACATCACCATTCAGCATACTATATATTGGTTTATCATTTGTAAAGATCCAAGATGGCAAGACTTTTGTCTGTTCTGATCACTGTCAGGTCTTGGGCACACACGAAGTGCTTAGCACATTTCCACTGAACAGATGGACTGGGGTTGCCTGTGGACACCCATGGGGTGGGCATGGCAATGCACCACCAGTAGAGCTCCATACTCCAAGTGGTCAAGCCCAGCACCATGTTCCTACCTAGCACTGAGACAACTCTAACCCCTCTGCCATATAAAAACCAGCTATGAAGCCTGAAGGCCCAGCCAGAACTCCCCAGGGGGCAAACAGGGAGACTAGGAGCACATTACTGCTGCTGTTTTAAAGTCAACAGAATAGGTGCCTTCACAAGCCAAGTTGAAGAGAAACTCAGCATCCAACAGGCCCCTTTCCAGCAGCCATGGCCCATGATGCCATAAACATGGTGTTCACCCACAAAGGGCAATGGTCTCTCTCTTCAGAGGTATGGTAAGAGACCTGGCTGAGGGAGCGCCAAGCTATGGTGCAAACGCCATTCCTATGGGCCCAAGTTCTGGGGAGAGCTCCAAAGAACACATTGCTGTTTTTCCCCAATATAGCTTTCCAACAGGTAAGCTGAGGACTTCCTGAGTTTGTAAATCCTCAGGATTCTCTCACTGGTTTCCAAAACAGAAAGGGAACCCTTTGTAAAGGTCTTCCCCACAGTGCCTATAATTAAGGGTTCTCTAGCAGGGTAGCTAGAAATCATTTCCCCTCGTTGTCACTGTCAGGTCCCAGGCTAATCTCTAATATGATTTTTCATGTGCCGAGCCAAGTTTGAAGACCACCTGAAGGTCTTCCCACACTTGGTGCATTTGAAGGGCCTCTCTCGAGTATGAAATCTCTTGTGGCTAATAAGTTGTGAACTCTTGCTAAAACCTTTTCCACAAATGCTACATTTGTGGCCCTTTTTCTCAGTGGGTATGTCCTGGAGTTCAGTGAGCCTGAAGCTCTGGTCACAAACTTCTTCACAATCTTCAAAGGGCTTCTCTTCACTTGGTTTTACTTCCTGTAAACTCAACTCTGTGTCCTGACAAGACAACCCCGGGAGGCTGCCTTCAGACTTTGCCACTCTGGTATGTTTTCTCTCGTGATTAGAAAGGGTTTGTCTCCCAATGAAGTCTTTCCCACACCACTGACATTTAAAAGGTCTCTCTTTAGTGTGGATTCGCTGATGATTAACCAGGCGATAATTTCTATCATAAGATTTTCCACATAGATTACATTTATAGCGCTTTTCTCCACTGTGTATTCCTTTATGATCTAAAAGAGATCTTTTACGTGTAAAGGTTTTCCCACATTCTTGACACCAAAAAGGTTTCTCAGAATTGAGGATTTTTGGCTCCAGATTTGGAGTCTTTTCACTTTCATGACACACATACTGTTTTTGAAAAGAGTGAAGCCTCTGGTGTCGATAGAGATTGGAACTCCACCTGAAGGCTTTCCCACACTCCCTACACTTATACGGCTTCTCTCCAGTGTGGACTCTCTGATGGAGGAGGAGGAATGAGGGATTACGGAAAGCTCGGTCACACTGGCCACATTTGTAGGGCTCCTCTCTCGTGTGACTGATCTGAGGAACTGGGAACGCTCTGTCCTGATTACGAGATGGCTCACTCTCAGGTTTTCTTTTCAGGGCATGTCTCTTCTTATGAACAATGAAGGCTGACCTATAGGTAAACTCTTTCCCACATTCACCACACTGGTATGGCTTCTCACCTGTGTGAATTCTCTGATGATCATGGAGAGTTTTCTTTCGAGTAAAAGTTTTGCCACACTCCTGACACAAAAATGTTTGGTCCACAGTGGGGGCACCCTGGGGTTGCCTTAAGTCTTCTTGACATTTTTCTTGCTTGTGGAACTTTTCCTCCTGGTGTAACCTCATATGACGAGTAAAATTTGACCGCCACCTAAAGGTTTTCCTACATTTGGTACATTTATAGGGTTTCTCCTGGGTGTGAATCCTCTGATGTTCAAGAACATATGATTTACAGTGGAAGGATTTCCTACATTGGCTACAATCAAAGAGCTTCTCCCCACTCTGGTCTCTCAAATGATCAAACCTTAAGCTGTAGGTGAGCATTTCCCCATACTGATTTGATTCAAGAAATTGCTGCTTCGCATGGGTTTCTTGGTGTAGACGGTAGGATGACATACGTCGGAAAGCTTTCTCACACAGACTACACTTATAAGGTTTCACTCCAGTGTGAATTTTCTCATGTCGTGCACAGTTGGAGCTCCACCTGAAGGCTTTCCCACACACCCTGCATTTATACGCTTTCTCTTGAGTGTGAAGTCTCCGGTGACATGCAAGATGGGAACTACGACTGAAAATCCTCCCACAGTCATTGCACTTATATGATTTCCCCATTGTGAGAAGATTCTGACCATGCAGGTGACGAGAGCTTCGGCTTAAGTCTTTTTCACACACGTCCTTTGTATTCCCTTTCAGTCCAGTATGAATTATTTGATGTAGATTAAAGCCCCCCAAAATGTATCTAAGCCCCTTTCCATATTTAATGTAGTCAAAGTGGTGTGAACTCATTCTGAAGTGTCTGCCACAGCCATGCTTAAGTGAGCGCTTTCTTTCAGAAACTTTCAAGTATGTAACATGTTTTAAGTCAAGGCTATTATTTCTTCCTGATATCTCAGAATCTTTTCCTGTCCCATGACTGAAGTTGGTCTCTTCTTTCTTAACTCTCACTTGTATGGCATTTGCACAGTTATCTTTTAACCTGCTCTTTGGTTCAAAAGATTCTCTAAGTCCTGTTCCCTCAGAAACACTTGGTGCAGGACATCCAGATGGCACAGCTAAGGTTTCTGCTTCTTCCAAAACTTCTGGATCTAGGAAGAACTTGTTTGTTTTAATCTGGAGCTTACCTGATAAAAGATAAAACAGAAGAGAATGTACTCTTTTCCCTTACTTGGACAGGAAAAAGCACCAAGGGGCAGTGAAATGCCTGAGTGGTGAGGCTTCTGCCTGACTTCCAATACCTTCACAAAATAGTCAAGCATAAAGCAAAGCATAGATAGTATCCCAGATAACAGGGAGAAGGGGAGGAGAAGAAAGATGGGCACAGGAGCAAGAGATATGCAGACATCACCTCCAGGAGGAAAACAAACAGGTTGAAAAGAGATTATCAGCTAGGCACAGCAGCACTATAGAAATGTACCCAAGAACCAAGGCATGGGGCTCCAAGGAGGGCCTGGCTGGGAGGACTAAAGAGCAGCCTATCACAGAAGAAAGGACCAAAGAGAGACAAGAGAGTGATGAGGGTTCTTAAGAGCAGGATGGGGTGGGCATAGGGACTGCAGCAGGTATGTAGGCACAAGGCCAAGGAGAAGCATCAATGACACAAAGAGATAAGAATAGCAAAGCCCTCTAGCAAGCAGTAACTATGGAGAGGGCTACTGGGGAAAGGTGGAAGGAACAGGTCTAGAAACAAATGGCCCCTCAAAGGCCACTCACAGGCCCAGCACCCCTTACAACACTATTAAAGATTTTCCTTCTAGATCCTTTTGTAGTTTGTAAGTGTGATGACTGAGTTCTGTCATCAGAATATTACTTGTCTGAATTGAATCAAACCAAAAAGATTTTCTAGCAAGGCGCCTGTAACATAGTGGTTCCGGCACCAGTCACATGCACCAAGGCTGGCGGGTTCGAACCCAGCCCAGGCCAGATAAACAATGACAACTGCAACAAAAAAATAGTCTGGCATTGTAGCAGGTGCCTGTAGTCCCAGCTACTTGGGAGGCTGAGGCAAGAGAATCACTTGAGCCCAAGAGTTGGAGGTTGCTGTGAGCTGTGATGCCATAGCACTCCACTGAAGGCAACATAATGAGACTCTGTCTCAAAAAAAAAAATCTTCTAGCAAACAATGAAGTCCCTAGAGTGCCATGGCAGCATAGCTCGTAAGAACCTCAAACTGTTGGGCTCAAGTGATTCTCTTGCCTCAGCCTCCCAAGTAGCTGAGACTACAGGCGCCTGCCACAATGTGCAGCTATTTTTTGGATTTGAATCCACCTGCTCTGGTGTATGTGGCTGGCACCCTAGCCACTGAGCTACAGGCGCCAAGCCCTTTTTTTTTTTTTTTTTTTTGAGACAGAGTCTCTCATTGTTACCCTTGGTAAAGTGTTGTGGTGTCATAGCTCACAGCAGCTTCAAACTCGTGGGCTCAAGGGATCATCTCACCTCAACCTCCAGAGTAGCTGGGACTATAAGCGCCCACCACACCACACCCCCCAGCTATTTTTTAGAGATGGGGTCTCATTCTTGCTTAGGCTGGTCTCAAACTCCTGAGCTCAAACAATCCGCCCACCTTGGCCTCCCAGAGTGCTGAGATGAAAGGCATGAGCCACCATGCCTGGCCTCATATACTCAAGGAAGAGAAGAGATGCAGCAGGTCCTGGTAGCTTCTCTGAAACTCACCGGTAGCGGCAGCACCTGGATTCTCCTTAGGATGAGCTGATTGGACATTCAGACCCCATGGCTCCCTTGCTTCCAACCAGGAGATCAGAGCAGGTTTGGTGAATGGCCCCACTGTAGAAAAGGGAATGGAATGAGAGGGTAGATGGATCACTCAGAATTACTTGAGGACCCTCTCAGCCTGAAGTCTTAGTAGGGAGGTGGGAAAGGCCAGGAAGGCAGGCAAAAGAAGCTATGATAGGAGGCCCAACTGTTTCTGATAGCCCTGAGCAGATAGAACAGACATCTTCAAACTACGGCCCACAGGCCACATGCGGCCTGCCAAGGACATTTATCCGGCATGCTAGGTATTTTTACCACCACTGCCTGTCCTGCTTAGCAGCCGACTCATCCTGGGGCCCGCAGTCCAGCCCTCCAATGGTCTGAGGGACAGTGAACTGGCCCTCTGTTTAAAAAGTTTGAGGACCCCTGAGATAAAGATAAAGACTGAGAGAAGCTGTAGGCAAAAGGATTACGAGAATTCTCCAGAGGGGAGAGCAATACAGCTACTCAACTGTTTAAATCAAGCAACATTATTTGGATGCCTAAATGGGAATAGCAACTTGAAACATAATTACATTTAATCTTTACAATAACCTAGAATAGCAGGTACTATTATCCCCATTTTTTTTAAGAGACAGGGTCTTACTCTATAACCTAGGCTAGAGTACAGTGATACACTGCAGCCTCAAACTCCTGGGCTTAAGCAATCCTCCCACCTCAGCCTCTCAAGTAGCTGAGACTACAAGTGTATACCACCATGCCTAGGTAATTTTTCTATTTTTTTTGTAAAGACAGGATCTCACCATGTTGCCTAGGCTGGTCTCAAACTAAGCCTCAAGTAGGCCCCCTGGCTTGACCTCCCAAAGTGCTTACAGGCACGTGCCACTGCACCCAGCCTATTATCCCTATTTTTTTAAAAGAGGATATCAAGATGCTAGATTAAGTGACCTAGTCAGAAGTTACAGAGCCAAGATCTAAACTGAGGTCATGTCCCTTTCTATGCACCACTATAAAAACCAAGAAGGCAGAAATAAGGTGGACAGAAATATGTGGATACCAATACTTACCCAAAAAAGCCATGTTCTTATAATTCTCCAGCATCACATTCCTGTACAGGTTCCTCTGAGCCGAGTTTAGCCATCCCCACTCATCCTGGGAGAAGGTCACCTCCACATCCTTGAAAGTCATAGCCTCCTGAAAAAATACTGTGCCCTAGAGCTGGTTCACAGCTCCCAGCTTTCAGAAGGGGGCAGAGGAATGGGCTGGCTCTGAGAGAGTAAAAGATGGATCTGGCAAAGGTGAAAGAGAAGACCATCACCCAGCAGAAGAACTCTGGGCCCAAGGGAGATAATCTGGTCTCTGGGACTTGGGTCTCCAGATGTGAGGTCACTAGATAGAGAAACCCAGGATGAGGGGAGCGGCCCTACTCCACCAGGCAGTAATATCAGGACATCAGGAAGAACTGAAGGCCCTGTGGCTCACCTGGGGCTGGGCTGTCAAAGACCAGGTTGCCATTACCTGGTCCCCTGAGCACCCCTCTCTCTGGGAAGGGGCAGACACCTGGGCAGCAGGAGGATCTGAAGGAGAAGAAAAAGCCATGAGAGAGCTCCCCAGCTCTGGATGCCCCACTGAGAAACCCATTCTTCCCCCCCAAAACACAGGACTCCTGGATCTATGAGCAGGTACAGACTGTTGTTAAATACCCATCTCACAGGTCCTTCATGTCTTCTGAGGTGCACAGGAGTACAGTGAGGGGAGGAGCCAGCCAGATACGGGTCACAGAAGGGTTAGAAAGGACACAGATCTAAGGGCCAGGACAGAAAGATTCTCACGAGAGGACAGATTGGTGAAATTCAAGAGGTATGCATGAAACTGAAGTCTCAGAGCCGGGCAGTGAATACCGGATTGCCCAGGCAGGAAGTCACGTGCTCCTATTTCACAAGGAGACTCCACATGGTCCCCCAGAGCAGAGCCGCTCCTGAGAGGTGAAGCAGGTGGCCATATCTGTGCAGATCGCAGGGCTCCTGTACCCATCCAGTGCACATCTGGGCTCTGGGCAGAGCCTGGGTCCTGACAAGAAGAAAACGTAAGAGGATTCCATGAGAATCAGAAAGATCAGAGAAAAGGCCACATGGCAGGTCTCTAAAGGGCAAGGGCCAAAGGAGGGGAGAGCTGGGTCCCTTATTACCTCTAGAAAGAAGGACAAGCAGCAAGGCCAGGGAAGCCCCTCCCCCCCTCAGTTCCCCTAGGCTCTAATGAGAGACCAATGAAAGGAAGCACTTGGTAAGTCAGTAACAGCACTATTGTCAGTCCTCAGAAGCCATAGTGACATCTCCCCATTACCTACCCCAGGCCTGAAACTTGGAAATGAGAAGGAATTAGTTCTTGAGACTTAAACTGATAATGGTCAATAGCAGAGACGGTCGAGTAATATCTACTGTCAAGTAATATCAACAGCTCTAGGCGGTGATATGCACAGAGAACTCAAGAGGTAGGCTAGCTCCCAGACTGCAAACTTAACTTTAACAGCAACACCTCCAGAGAGGCAGTGCTATCATATTTAAGAAAGTCAGCCATGGAACCACAGAAGAAAAAGGCTCCAGGGTAAAAAATGGTTTAATGGTTTAATGTACCCATCAAACCAAAGACCAGGAAAGAGGGAGACTTCACCCTGGGCCTTCAAATAGCTCTGGTCTGTAAAGTAAGTTTGTCCTTGATGTACAGGTAAGTTAGAAGCTAGAGCCGATGGTCTGAGTTTTTCTGCTCCTGTGGCCAAGACATTCTCTATACTGACATGGAGAAATCTGAGCCTGAGGCCAGCCTGAACCCAAAACAAAGACACAGACCACAGATGACCAACTGACCGCCATGGTAATCTACCTCCTACTCCTTGTAAATCCTACAGGAAGAATGAAGGAATAAAAGAACATAAGCACAGCCAAAAAAGTTGAGGACAAACTTTCTTAGGCCTTGGTTTTTCACAGTGGTAATTTTGTTAAACTACAGAATAATCCTATGACTTTGTGTGCATCTTCAACATTTCTGTTCCTTTTCAGAATCTGGAGGCTTTCTTCCAGCCCCATTGTCTTCTAATTTCTAAGTAGCTTTCAAACAGTTGGGTCCTTTATGCTCATCTGGCAATGTTTTTCATGGATGTTTTCAAACCTTACTTCTAGCTCTAAATGAGCTTACTATAACAAAACCACAATTTTACCATCTATCTTAAATTATTATTAGGTCCTTCTGAACATTTTATTGTTTTAGCAAAAATGACAAATCCTTTTTTGAAGTATTAAAATAGTACCTAGGCTTAGCACCTGTGGCTCAAGTGGTTAAGGCGCTAGACACATACACCTAAGGTGGCAGGTTCGAATCCAGCCCGAGCCCACCAAACAACAATGATGGCTGCAACCAAAAAAAATAGCCAGGCATTGTGGTGGGAGCCTGTGGTCCCAGCTACTTGGGAGGCTGAGGCAGGAGACTCGCTTGAGCCCAGGAGTTGGAGGTTGCTGTGAGCGTGCCCATCTCACAGGTCC